TTGGAGAAACAGGAACTTGATTATGGTCCTATGCTCTTCCACATTGAACTTTTCTGGAGCTGCTGCCATGTTCACTTTGGACCTAAACATAAAAGATAAGTTAAAATCATAGGTAGTTGATTTTTGCACCATTGAATACAGACAAATTGGCCAATACACCCTGCAATTTATAGCTTTTTAGCTCAATTTTTATGGGAAAAGCTCAGTACTTATCAGCACCCCCTTGTCCACCTTGTATAGGTTCTACATTAATGACTGTAAAAACTAAATGTGTTTTTGAGAGGCATTTCCAAATTTTGGACAAACTGTGGACTTTGCATGTAAGGTTTGGGTATTAACAGAGGTTAACATGTGTTTTCCTATTCAGGCCAGGTTTCTTCCTGTTCTTTGGCTTTGCCTGGTTGCTCTATGACATCCCAAAAGAAACTACAGGGCCTTGTGGCAGCCACTGTCACTCCAATGACTCAGGATAGGTAAATATTTCCTTAACCCCAACAATGGTATTACAATTGTTTGAGCTCCTTGATTACACATTGATATCTAGAATCATGATATGAGGATGTATCATTTTCTTCATTACCTATACAGTATTGCAAATCTTTAAAAGAAGGTGAAACTGGTCTTCAGTAAAGCAATGACTAACTAACATATGAGATGTTAGCATCACAATCTTTAACTTATTGGAGCAGAAACCAGGACAAGAGACATGTGCATATGTGTAAGTGAGAGGAAGAGTGAGGCAGAAGGAGGTTTTTACTCCTGGCATAACTTACATTGGCTGAAAACCTGTTGTCTACTGTAGTCAGTCACACTACAGTAAGCCCATTGAATCAGTGGGGTTTGGTGAGTCAATTTCTTGTTAAGTTCCATTGATTCAAATGAGTCTACTCTACTTGTGACTTACTATGCTAAAGTAAGTTGCAACTACAGTAGGACCATTGAGCCTGCTCTAATGTGACTTAGTATGCTAAGCAACAGGATTTTTACCCAGCCATCATCCCCAAACCTTGGTTAATTTATTTTTATGGTTTTGGTTAATTTATTTTAATTTTTCACTTTTGTGCTATGATACAACAGTGGCAACAGTAAAATGAATTTGAAAGGAGTATGCAGAAACAGCTGATACCCCAAGCAAACTACACAAGAGTAGCAGTAAGACATGTAGGGGTGGAGACAGACCGGCAGACAAATACCCATAAGGAAAAGTCATCCAATGGCACCCACCCACAAAGTCCACCAATCAACACCCCTCAGTACAGCACTGATGTCCACATGGGCAAGTTGTGCACTGGAGCAAACTGGTTTCAACCTTTTGTCCTGTGGGGTGTGGTGTCATGGGTGTGAGGAAAGTGGGACAAATGCTCCGTTTGGACAGCCCCAACATGAACCTTGTTCTGGGCCTATGAGGCCCTTCTGTTCTAGAGCAAGCATAAAGACTTGGAGTTGTTAAAATAAATTAGTTAATTCTTAACTCTGAAGAATGTGTATGGGGGATATCCTGCCTGTTAGAGTTATAGTTTCTAATAATAATAAACCCTGAGGTATTTGCCACTGTAGCAACTCACAAAGGCAGGCCTCCCTGCTGGATGGGGAAAAAAAAAACCCGGACAATTGCAGATTCCAGGGCTTATCCTCCTGGAGCTCCTGCACAATGAGAAGAACTCTGATCAAGGGCTAAAAGCAGCATGGATCCTGTTTTAGAGGGAAGTAACAAAGTCACCGATCAGCCATGTTATTCTCAAGGATGTGTTTAAATATCTTCTTGCTCTCCTCCAATAGAGAGTGCCTCACTCTTCCTCCTTAAGCCAAGATTGTATGTCTCCGTGGATTAATAAGTTTGCTTCAGTCAGGCAGCGGTGAAACACTGAAAACTGCATGTTCTTGGAACGAATTGAAGTAAACAAATCTAGGAAAACTTACTTTTTCTTTTCAAATCCCAAGACTTCTCTAGCCAGCATGGCACATGAGTATGCTAGCTGGGAGATTCTTGAGAAGTAATTTTTCCAATTTCTGCAGGTAACTGTGGAGCAGGGGGAAAATACATGTTGAGCTAAAGATTTGATTAAGGGATTCTTCATGTGTCTATGGGATCATCTACAAAACGTACATAGAACACCAGACGTCTCCCAGCCGGAACTGGATGCAAAGTGGAAAAACAAAATACCTTTTTTATTTTATTTTTATTCCCATAAAATTTATCCAATTATTATTTATCCTTTCTGCACAGGAGGGTTCATGAGGCTTTTCTTGGTGTCTTTCTTCCCTAACATGAAGTGCTGCTGAAACACGAAGCTGTTGTTATGTGCCATCAAATCATCTCCAAATTATGGTGACTCTGTGAATCTCCAAAATGTCCTGCCCTGCTCAGCTGTTGTAAACTCAAATCCTTGGCTTCCTTGAGGGAGTCAGTCCATCTTATATTTGGCCTTCCTCTTTTCCTGCTGCCTTCCACCTTTCCCAGCATTCCAGAGAATCTTGCCTTCTCATGATATGCCCCAAGTAGGACAGCTTCAAACTGAACATTTTTGTCTGCAGAGAGAGTTCGGGCTTGAAGGGGATTTCTCTACAAAAGCTCATAGTAGGACAGCTTCAAACTGAACATTTTTGCTTGCAGAGAGAGTTCAGGCTTGAAGTGGACTTCTCAATAAAAGCTCACATTATAATATGGCAGTTGGTCTTTAAAGTGCCACAACATTCCTTTTGAGTGGGAGAATATGAGATAGTAACCAGGACTTGAATGCTTTCTATTTGAAAATATGGCAGTTGGTCTTTAAGGTGCCACAACATTACTTTTGATTGGGAGAATATGAGATGGTAACCGGGACTTGAATGCTTTGTATTTAATAAAACAAAGCAAAGAAAGTTCTGGTTGTTTGAAGCCTGTTTTTCTTTAGAAATTCAATTTATAGCATGTTATTTGTAAAGGGATTTGGAAATAGTAATGTCCTGTCTTTTTTATTCCTTTCCTTTAGAGAAATTAATCTCGCTGTGATTGGCCAGTATGTGGACTACCTGGTAAATGAGCAAGGTGTGAGGAGTGTTTTTGGTAAGCTTTGACTTTTAATATCTTTCCCAGGGGGACTGATCCAGGGTTGTTTTTTTAATGGCATCACCTTTGGATCATCAAAAGGATTCTGGAACCCAGAGGTTTTTGGGGGGAGGGGGTGCAAGACTAACAAGCAGGTCCTGATAAACAGCTGTGTTTTTATTCTTTCTTATGCAGTAGACTAAAAAATGAATATATCTGTCATACTTCGTTCCATGTTGTGAATATATCTGTCATACTTCGTTCCATGTTGTTAAAATGGGTATCAATCAGTGGTCAGAATCATTTTTTGTTAGTTACACTGTTGGGTTTGTTTGTTTATTTTTTGATCCAGCCTGTTCACGAGGATCATCATGATGATCATCAAAGTTATGGGACTAAAAAACCCAGAAACAGATTATAGTAATTCACGTTATCAACTTCTAAGCACAGAAAAGGCTCTCAGAATAAAGTCATCTTACTCTGTTCCTTAAAGACAAAGGAAGCAGTCCAAGGGGGTCTCTCCATGGATTGTTCTGTTACCAGGGAAGCCCTGTGCTTTGCTGCTATCTGGTCTATTGTGGTAGATTGTGGAATGAGAAGTGGGGCTTCCTCTGCTCAGTGAGTAGCTTCCCCCCAAAAAAGATTCATTCCATCCTTCCTGTATGTGCTGTCAATTTTATTTTTTCAACCACAGTGAATGGAACAACAGGAGAAGGCCTGTCCCTGAGCATTCAGGAGAGGAAGCAGCTGGCAGAGGAATGGGTAGCAAAGGGGAAGGAAAAGTGAGTCACTGTGGGGGAAGGAGTGCTTGTTTTGTGAAAATGTATTCCCTATCTATGCAAAGACATTTGATTATGAAATCTGTGTTTTCTGTATCCTTTCCCCCCGCACTTTGTCACTTTAAATGCCAAAATGCTGCTGAAGGAACCAGTTAGAGTAAGTGAGGTTATCTCCAGAGCTCCTCTCACTAGCATTTAGAGAGCCCTGTGCAGGCATTCTGCTTTTTCTCCCTGACAGATGCTCTGTAGTAAGAAGAAGAACGATGGGGAATGTGGTAGAGAAGCAAGGAAAGGTCAGAACTGCAGGTTATTACCCAAAGTCCCCATCAAATTCAGTGAATAAGGCAGGCCAATTGTGTGTTAGAAGCCTGTTCTGGAACACTGGCACAATGTCTGACTAAATTATAAGGGGAATCCTAATTTCTCTCCATTGCTCTATGAGGAGACGGACAGAAAGTGATTATTTACAGAAGCACAGTTTTCTAACATGTTTCTCACTGGCTGAAAGTTAGGAAAGAAAGAGAAGGGGGAATGTTCCTCTCACAATACAGATTGTTATACTATTGTCACTCTGGCCCAGAGACAGAAGACTCTGATCAGAACTGCTAAAATCTAACTACTAGATTCTTAACAGTCAAGGGTCTGCAGCAGCATTTTGGTCACAGGCATCCCACTCTGCCATTTCTCAGCACTTGAGACTTGTGGAAAAGATGCTGCTTTTGATTTCTTTACTGTATGGTGTGCAGCTTTAGAAAAAAAAGGCTCAGCACACTTTGCAGATGTCAGAAATAAGGAATGCTACTTTCCAGCATTCTCATTTTGTTCTTCTTTACATTCTCTTCTTAACTCTTTTTCTTTTTTAAATGTACTTTCTGAGTGACTTGATATGTATCAGAAGCCTCTGGATTTCTTTCCTAAACTTCTGATAAAATAGATAAGGCATCCTCCAGTCTCGAAAGACTATGGTAACGTGCTCTGTATGGAGGACTTGGAACAGCGTCTAGTGTGGCTGAGAAGGCCAATTCGAGAGTGGCAGTCCCTTCCACACTGGAGACAAATACAATCTGTCCCCTGTCCAGCTCCCTGATTTTGCTGGTTTCGGGACTGCCTCTTTGCCTCAGCCTGCTGGACAAGGGTCTCTTCAAATTGGCAGAGGCCGTGATGCACCGCCTGCCTCCAGGCTGAACACCAGATGTCAAGGTTTCCCATCTGTTGAGGTCCATTCCTAAGGCCTTCAGATCCCGCTTGCAGATCTCTTTGTATTGCAGCTGTGGTCTCTATGGCGATTTCCATAAAATAGATACATATTGTGAAATACGCAGTGTGGTTCTTGCAAACTGTCATTATTGTGACATCATCCCCTATATTTTTCACTGCCTGCCCATCAAAAGCAGAAGGCAAAAAAATAACTTTTTTTTCTGCAGGCTGGACCATGTGATTGTCCATGTTGGAGCACTGAGTTTACCAGAATCAAAAGGACTGGTGAGTAGGCCTGTTAATGTATTTCCTGCTTACATTTTGCATATAAATGAGCTACTGCACAAGGAGACAGCTCTTCCGGCTATTACAAGAGACAGTTTGGGGCAAAGAAGCGGTGCAGTCCAAAGTATCTGAGGATGCTGGCTCTTAGGTTAGCTCAGATGATTGACTTCAGTACCTTAGAACTGGCTCCCATGGCACATAGACAGCAGTTATCTTGTGCTTAGCAAGAGTGGCCACATCATACTAGTTTTGATCATGTTAATTCAACTCATACAAGGCCCATGGAGGGGATGCCTCCCTAAAGCTTTAAAATTATATGCAGCTCTATGGAATTAGGCCATATAGGACTTGGATCCAAGGAAGAAAGGATACTATAGAATCTATAATTGGACCTCCCTTGGTGTTTTCTCTGGCTACAGAAGCCCCTGATCCCATTGGAAGGTCCTTCAGTCATCTCCCTGATCTAAAATCAGCCCCCCACATTAAGTCTCTCATCTGCATGATGTTGCATGTCAACTTTTAGTTTAATAAATAAATAAATAAACTCTAGAGATTAGATGGCTCACTTAATTTGACTTTTAGGGCGTATAACCTTAGCAATCATAGGATCAGGCTCTGTGTAGCTAATGAACAGAAAGTGCTATTGTTTGGCGGGCTTATTGAAGCATTTGGCCCAGTAGGGCTTATTCCTGATGGCCTTTATTTATTTGTGGCTTGGTTGCCATTATTCTTAAGGTGGATATTTCTGTGAAATACCTCCTTGAGAAACGGCATTTTTATTAGCTAGGGCCAATGTTCCCTCTAAGTTTCTGTCCCACTGTCCAGGAGCCTCGCTCCGTGTTTGTGGGGCTTCTTTCAAAACAGGAAGTAAACAAACCATCTGCTGGCTGCCCCTGTGCAACTCTGACAGAGTTCTGGGCAAGCGTGCGTGCGCATGCAGCTTAGAGAGAACCCTGGCTAGGACGGATGCACAGCCATTGCTAGGAAGGAAGGATAAGATAAAAGACTGTTGTTTTTCTCCAGATGGGTCAGGAACCCTAAGTATGCTTTATGTGCTTGCTTCCTTTTGGCCGCTTTAAAGAGGTGGAAATGGCAACTAAAAGTACCCAGGTAGGGAGGCTGTTGCTCTTCCTCTGTAAGTTTGTTATCTGTGTGGGAAGTAACAAAACAACTGGGGCCTTTTTTGCAGCTTGGAGGTGCTGAAAATCTTGAATAGAACAGCATCCACTATAACTAGTTTCTGAGGTATTTATATATAAGTTTTCTGGAAGTACCATATGGAGTATCTACGTGAGAAAAGCTACAGAATTGATTCAGCTTTCTGGCTGTTTTCCTGCCTATGCTGTAATCTTGTCCCGATTAAGAGTGATGTGAAAAAAGAGTCTGTAAGTTTGGAAACACTACAGAAGTAGCCCCAGCCCAATGCCCAGCAAGTCTGTTTGACTGCTAGCCCTCTGTCTCAAATCAGCCCACGTGATCCAGGCTGTAGGCAGGGAGCCAAGGGGAAAGGTCCTCTGGCCCAGTGAGAGGCTCAGAGAGGTTACTGTTTTGTACCACAGTTCCCAGAATGACCCAGCAACCATGTCTAAAAATGTAACTTTTCCAAACTGGCTCACCAACTTACATGATCTGGATGGTACCATCTTCCCCAGTGATCATCTTTCCATTTCCTTGCTTTCCTAAACTGTAGGTAGTCCCACAAAAAATTCTGTGGGGACAGTTTCCCTCTGAGGACTATGTATAGGGAACTTTGGTTGTGGTGTTTTACAGATATACAGGCTGGGTAAAAGCATAGCTGAGCAATGCTATGGTGCATGTGTGAGGGGATACTGGTGATGGTGGCTGTTCATTCTGTAATCTATAAACATAAAGGTAAAGGTTCCCCTTGACAATTTTTGTCCAGTCGTGTTCGACTCTAGGGGGCGGTGCTCATCCCTGTTTCCAAGCCATAGAGCCAGCGTTGGTCTGAAGACAATCTTTCGTGGTCACATGGCCAGTGCGACTTAGACACGAAACGCTGTTACCTTCCCACCAAGGTGGTCCCTATTTATCTACTCGCATTTGCGTGCTTTCGAACCGCTAGGTTGGTGGGAGCTGGGACAAGCGACGGGCACTCCCTCCGTCGCGTGGATTCGATCTTACGACTGCTTGGTCTTCCGACCCTGCAGCACAGAGGCTTCTGCAATTTAGCCCGCAGCGCCACCACGTCCCTTAATCTACAAACATAGGACACAATAAATATGTAACGTGCTGGATTTTAAAAAAATCTGTTTGTTTAGATTTCTCTAAGCTTTTGAGATGTTCTGTGTAATTCAAAAGCTTTCATACTGCTACCCCAATATAAGCTGTTGTCATATAGTTTCCCATTTCCCGTTCTCTAAACAGTAATGGTCTTGCTTAGTATAAATGGGTGCCTTCAGTTCTTCCTTTTTCCTCCTGTTTCAGGCTAAGCATGCAGCAGAAATAGGAGTGGATGGCATAGCCGTCATTGCTCCATCCTTCTTCAAGCAAGTGAATAAAGGTGAGTACATCACTTGAGCCCACGTAATTGTTTTCCCTCTTGTCATTCATTGGCCACAGAGGATTTTTGGCACTGAATGTACAGCATCATAAGCATGTATAACAACCTGTTTGGTCAAGGTATGTGCAGTTTTTGCTAATTAATTGCTCCAAGACCAGCACTTTTAGTGGCAACCATTTTCCAGTTTATATCCCTCCCTTTCCATCCCTAGTGGCAGGGCTCTATTATTTTCCCCAGTGATAGTGTAGGCAGGCCATAGAGTGTGATATTGGGTACAAATCCTTTTTCCTGAGCATCTCTGCTTCCATTTGAAAAAGGAAAGTAATATTGTAGCCCTCATTACTGAAGTGTCTTGCTTGAGAGTGAACAGGCCATGCCTTGTGAAAACTTAGAAGCCAGGCAGATGATGAAATTGTTGGAGTTTTTACAACCTTGCATGCAGCTTGTAATGTGAGTGACTGGGAGGGACTTTCCTGGAATGGGTGATTGTTAATCTGTCCAGCACTAACCAATAGTTCCCTCCCATCGCTGAATTCGAAGATGGTCCCACCTCTCTGCTAAGTATCCCTTTCCCTCTTTTTAGTCTATTGAAAGCAGAGTTTGTTAGTTTCCTGTTGATCTGTACGCAACTGTAATGAAACTTCTTTCTGTAATGAAAATTCTTTCTTCTACAAATGTCTCAGAGTGAGTAATTAAAACCTTAACTGCTAGTTAATGAGAAAGCAGTGGACTATTGGGAAAACTTTTGACTATTCTCTTCTGTCAGTCTCTGTACCAGAAATTCAAAACTCTGCAACAGAAATAAGATTTCCATGACTCTATAGATAAGGCTTGAGTGCCCTCCACAGTTTCTTGATGCTTTTCTTGACTGCCAGACGCAGAATAAACTATGCAAGATTATCATGATTAGTTAGGCAAATATGCATCAGGTATACAGGTTACATATATGCATACCTTTTCTTTGAACAGAATTCAGGCCAGATTAACGCAGTGGGTTATGTATGTGAGAAAAAGAGTGAGGTCTTTAAGTAAAAAGTATGTCTTGTCTTGAATATAGAACAGCAAAAAGTAGCCAAGGGTATGTCTCTCAGTCTCCTGCAAAAGGTTTTGTAAATGTCATGAAGTTTTCTGGCACATCTCCTGGAGTTATATCTGTTGTTATGCCTCCTACATTCACACTTGGTCATTCATAACCTCTTCTTTTCTCACTTCCAGCCATTTACAGTGGGTGACTCAGCTGGGAAGATATGGGGTAGATCATTTCAAAGCTAGAAGGAAGGGCCTTGTTTGTTTCTTTGTCTATTACATTTATACCCCACCTTCCCACTAAAAGATAGCACTCAAAGTGGCTTGTGAAGGTTTTGAGCATTTCAGAAGAGAAGACATGATGGTGCAGGCTGTGTTGGAGCTGTCTCCTGCCTATTACATAGGCCTGCGTTGTATTGGATAACATCAGTTTTAGAACACTACCCAGGCTTCTAATAAGGTTGCTTGCCTTCTCTTTTTTAGATGCGCTTCTTGCCTTCTTGCGGGATGTTGCATCTGAAGCTCCTGGCATCCCGTTCTATTATTACCACATCCCTCCCCTGACTGGTATTCAAAGTAAGTGTTGATCATCCACAGCTTTCTAGATAATCCAAGACAAAAGCCAAAAACCTTGTTACATCCATAATTGATTGATTTTTTTTTTTGTCATGTGGAAAGTCTCCCTTTCTGCCAGTGAGCTCAGGGCGGTGCCTGCAGTTGTCCTCTTCCTCACTTCATTCTCAAGACAACCCTGTGATGCAGGTCAGGTCAAGAGAGAATGACTGGCCTGAGCTCATTCAGGGAGTTTCAGGAATCCAAGTCTCGTAGCCCAGAAGTCTAAACACAACACTATCCCGGCTCTTGTATTCAAATCAGCTGAAAGCCTTTCTGTATTATTAAGTGATTGTTAAGTAACAATTCTTATTTAAAGTATTTATAACCTGTCATTTAGCCAACAAGGCTTCCAGGACAGATTGTAAAGTACAGTGGCGCCTCAACTAATGAAATAAATCCACATTGGAACGGTGGCCGGAACTCGAAATTTTTGTAAGATGAAGCACCATTTCCCATTGAAATGCATGGGAACGGGATGAATCCATTCCAGCATTTCAAAAAAATGCAAAAAAATAAATAAATAGTAAAGCACACAGAAAGCCCCATCGGAAGGCGCTGGGGCTTTAAAAAAACAACTGCAGACCTGCAAGGCGCTGGGGCTTTAAAAAAACAACAACTGCAGACCTGCAAAAAAAAAACACCAAAAACAACACAGCACAGAAGCATAACCCCCCTCAGCCAAGCCCCCCCTGCAAAACCCACCCAGAAGTTTCTAAAAAGCAAAAAGTAGCATCTTACCAGGCAGACTGAAGCCTCCTCCGATAGCACTCACTCCCCGGCGGATGGCGGCCAGTGACAGGCCCTGGCCAGCACGTAGGGGGCCCTTACTCATGAGTAGACCCGCACCAGGGAGTGCACCTGGCAGTGAACTGGAGCTGCCCTGGTTCTCCTTCCTCCTCTTGCGCCGCCGCTGCACGCCTCGTCCATGGAGGAGACCCTCCCACCTCTGTCCATGGAGGAGCCCCTCTGACCCACGCAGCCCAGCACCTTCGGGGGCCCTTACTCATGAGTAGACCCATGCCTTCATTGGACCTTACTCATGAGCAGACGCATGACAGGGATGGGCAGGGAGCGTGCTGGCTTCCCGCGCCTGGCAGCGAACTGGAGCCGCCCCCACCTCTCCTTCCTCCTCCTGCCCCACAGCAGTAAAAAGTTCCCTGACCCCCTGCTCTAACCATTGGGGCGAAAGAGCTACAAAGAAGTAGTCTCTTCGTCACCAGCGGTCTGAATTTCCCGCCCTTTTCCCCTGCCTTGTTCTGTTCTTACGTTGAAACTCTGCTCGCAAGTTGAAGCTCCTGGGGTATTGTTTTTTCCAGTTTTCCCCTTCATAGAAAGACCCAACTTGTATTACAATGCTGAAGAGAATCTCGGCCTTCGTTGTTGTCTGTATCGGTGTGTCTTCCATAATAAGACTTGAAAATGTTTTTTGCTGTGACTTTTTCTGCACAGTTAATGCTGAAGAACTGCTTGATGGGATGACTGAGCAGATCCCCAGCTTTCAAGGGGTGAAGTTCAGTGACAGAAATCTGCTCGATTTTGGGCGGTGTGCAGCAAAAAACAGTAGTGGCCAATTTGCACTTCTTTACGGCGTGGATGAAGTAAGGATGTTGTATATTAATAACTTGGCTGTAATTCCTTTTCTACTCTGCTTGTTCCCAACTAGAACGGCTAATGTGGTGCACAGAATTTATTATCTCTGATCACTGATTGGAAATATTGAGGAGAGTCCTTCCTCCATGTAGTGAAACCTCAATACTTTTCTTTAAATGGAGAAAAGCAAGAATGAGGATCAGGGCAGATGATTTCATGGGGAAGAACTAGGGTGGAGTTGCCCTGGTGTCATTCAGCTTACTGGCTTCATTTGGAGCAGGGAACAATGCAGACCCCGAGACTGAAACTGTCCCCTCTTGCGCTGCAGTAGAATCCATTGCAGGGGACACCAGGTAGCCTCCTAAGCTGATGCAACCAAGGACTCGCTTTTTTGTGCTAGAGCCCACCAAAGGCATCCCCGGCCACCTGGGTCTCACCAGTTCTTGTCCTGACCAAATGAAAAACAGATGTGCTATAGGTGTGATAAGGATCTTGTCATGTGTTGGTTGAAAAGGAAGATGAAAGTGAAAATCTAGTGAGCAGCACAATACAAGAAAGGAAAGGATGGCCACGCTAGCCTTGGAAAGCTCTGGCCAGCGCTAGACTGGGAAGGAGATGATACAGATTGAATGCAAGGGAAAAAGGTAGATGGGTGCAGTGGCAATTGGTGGCTGGAAGAAAAGTGACAGAGCTACTTGCATCTCTGCACTAGGCCCTGTAATTGTGAAGGGCTTCCACATGCCAAAGCCGGGCCTGCTGTTATTACTTTGCATGGCTTCCACCCAGTGAGAGTGAAAATAGCTCTGCAACAAGTCCTTCTATGTGAATGTCTTCATTTTGTTGAAATTCTGTGGAAATGAAACCCATCTCTTTGTTTTTCCCTAAGTAGCAACTCCTGAGTGCACTGGCGATGGGAGCAACGGGGGCTGTTGGGAGGTCAGTCCGTCTTCTCGTTGTCCCGTCTGCATGGATGAGAGAGGGGCCTCTGTGGATTTCTGTGCCATGCCTCCTGGAGGAGAGAGGATTCTCATGCAGGGCATGCCTCCTCCTCCTCCTGTCTTTGGTCCTATACTCATCTGTTTTCTTCTACAGCTTAGTGCCAATTACTCAAACTTAAATGTGAGGGGTGAGGCAGTTATTCTCCTCATTCTTACAGAATCTCCTTGTTTTGGCAGCCACAACTGGTCATATTTATGGCATCAAATTCTTCTTACTCTTTCAGTTTCTTTCTGTTCTCCAACTGCCCACAGTGGAATGAAAATTGTTGTGATCATAGACTAGTTTTTCACATGGACAATTAACTCATTGCATCAGAAACTGCTAACTAATTATTACTCAACTGTCACTTTTTCTCCCCCTCTTGAGGTTAATGTAAATATCCAGTCTTCAACCCACACCACGCCCCTCTTCCCTCTTCTTTCTCCTCTCTCATCTTTGCCCAGGCTTTGTGTCTGTTTGCTGTCTCTTGGAAGAATTTTTACAACAGAGCCCCCAAAACAACATAAGCCATAATTTACTACATGTAAATGTACCACATAGCCAAGATCCAGTGAATATTTAGTATATTCACTTATGAAACTGATATTTTATTCAAAATTTCATTCTGTTTCCACATGTCTGATGAAGTGGATGTGTCCATGAAAGCTCACATTAAAATATAATAGTCTTTAAGGTGCCATTTGATTTTGTCTTGTTTTGTTTCTTTGGATTTTGCCTGACATAGATGGATATGGTAATTGATCAGCCATATCAGATCCACAAATGTGAGCCATTTGCTCATTACAGAGTTGTGACAGTCTGTGTGTACCAGCCAAATGTTAGATGCACCTTGAATGACCTAGAAGGAGCATCTTTTAAAATTCATGGCTAGCCTTCCAACACTTTAAAAAAAACTTGCACAGTTGCAGGGTGGCTACGAATATGATCCAAATAGCACTACTTGGTTGGTTCTTTCCCTTCAGGCTACAGTTTTTCTGATCAAATGTCTTCTTATGCAGACTTTAAAATAGATGGGATCATTGTGGGTTTTTTCACTGATGGTATTTCAGCCCTCTTGCCATTCCATTTGAGGTACATAGACAGGCGGACGGACACAGACACACAAAGTAGTGTTCCTCCACACAGTCTGGCCCCAAATTTGTCTTGTGATTGAAATGTGAATGCCCTGGGTGTAGGATTGCTGTTCGACTTATGTGGAACATAGTTGCACAAATGCCAAAGGGCTTCAGTTCCTTATTACTCAAAATCATGAGCAACGAATGGTCATCTGTTAACCTGTATTAGTGGGAGAGCTCCCGTCTTCTGAACTCCAGTTCTTTACATACAGCATTTCCCAATATAGGTGAAGCCTGTTTGGCGAGAGCATACAATATTTTTAAAGTAAAGAGCAATAATGCTTATCCTCTACCCCCCCCTTGTGCCATACAGTACACATGCAGCTCCACACATATTTCTGTGAACATCTTTGCTTTCATATATAATTTGATTTCTTGCAGTCTGTCTGTTCTGGAGTTCTTCTTATGTGCTGAAATATGTACTGATCCACTTTTTTAAAATTCAGGGCCAGTTTTTTTCTTCTCCTGGTTCCCAGAATATTGGTGTGGTATAAACTGCAGCTGGGATGCATAATTTTGGTCACAAGGACCGGCCTCAAGGAGATACCATTCCTGAGTGCAAAATATCTCCAGGATTTTATGTGTTTCTTGTGAACCAGATAGAATGCCTGAGACACCTAGGTAATCTAATCCTAACAGTGTCAGGGACAGTATTGGGGCCCTGATAACTATAAAGGAGCTGGGAGTCAAGACTGGACTGTTGATACCTTGCCATAAGTTCTTCTGCTAAAAGGCAAGTGTAGAAAATACCTGGGGTGTTCACCATATAGGGGCCCTCTATGCAGTAGGACAGCCCACTTCTGCGTTGGAAAGATTGGGCCAAAAATGCTACCTCTGTTCTAATGTCATTAGCAATGCTGATGGTTACTTAATGTTAAACCTAGCTGTTTGTTGGTGTTTTTTTCTACAGCACATATAACTATTTTGGGAAGGCAAATAACGTAATGATGGAAGCGTTTGCCAAGGGTGATTTCTGCACAGCACAAAAATACCAGGTACGACATGTCTAACTGAAGCTGTTTACAACATTATTATATGATAAGATATTCATAAACCTTCCCGCTCCATTTGTGCCAAGAGAATGCTCTCTACATAGAAGCGATGTATATTTCTATCTAGTTCTTTTAAAAAAATGCCCTTGAGTTTATGAATGTGGGACATTTTGTTTCTCATCCATATTCGAAAAGCCAGGAAATGGCTCAGTAATAATGCACAATATCGGGCCCACGTTGTGAGCAGGAAAAAGAATACCAAGCTTTGCATAGCAAAGAGCAGCTTGAATATTGACAATACTAAAAGCAGCAGTCGAGATGATTTGTAGGGTACCCTCTTGTGATCACTGCCATTTCAAAAAGTGACACCATGCAAGGGAAAGTCCCAGAAGCTGACTCCTTTTTTTCATCAGTTTACCACTTCCCACCCAAACACAAAGCAGGGATGTTTTTCAACAAGTGGGAATGGCAGGATCAAAAGTTCAGCTCCCCTTCCACTCTCAAGCTTATAACAATGTTTATGTTTATATTTAGAATGTGCACCTTTATAAGAAAACCAAAAATTCAACTTCCTCCCACCCCCTTAAAATAGCTATTTTCAAAGTCAGTATTAGAGCCATGGATGCCTGGATTCCTTCCAGATTAAAAAACAAAAACATCCAAGACTAGACATTCTCTTTCAAAAATAAGCCATCAGTGTATTTGATCTGTTTTAAATCTGCAGACAATGAAAGTCACTTGTGTCTGCAATTGGCGGGGGGTGGGGTGGGGTTACTTTTTAAAAAATCAAAGACTCCAAATTTGACACAGATAAAGAACTGGCTATCTGCTATATCTGTGCCAAATTTGGTGTTGATCCAATGTCTAGTTTTAAAGTTAGAATTGCCTTGTGGAATGCTAAATTGTGCTATTGCACAAAATCACTGCACTGTTGTGCAGCAATAATACCATAGCTTTAAGGGTATAAGTAACAGAACTGCTGGATATCTCAGTGACTTAGGTATCTGGTTATAGAGCTTTTGGTTGGGACTTTGATTTCCCCCCACGCCTCCTCGACAGGGTCCCTTCCGGCTCTGCAGTTCTAAGGTTATTGTTGTTGTTGCCTTTAATTCATTTTTTGTAACAAGATCATAACAACACCTCATAGCAACAACTGAGCAGTCGGAGTAGCCATCAGTAGTATCACTGTTTTTACCAGGACTGTGATTCAGCTTGTTTGCACTCGCCTAACCCGTTACTGACCTAAATACTGATTTAGTGCCTCCACAGCTTCAACTGAATTGAAGTTAAAACATAAAGTGAGAGAATTTGGTGTTAGCTGTTCAGTGATGATATCTCACTTCAGACCCTTCAATGACTTTCGAGTGGATGTCTAAAAATCCTAGTGGTAAGACAGAGCCAAAGCTGTGCATAGACTATGGAGATTACTGCTGTTGCATACAGTATCTGTGTAGAATTTGCTCCCCAGTAACTCCAGCACTTTAGCTGGATAACCCAGTGGTTTAGGTGTCTGACTGCAGAGACTTGGGAGGTCACTGTGCATCTCGGGAGAAGAGCCACTCTGTATAGCCTTGGGCAAGCTGCCGAGTCTCAGAAATGCCTCAGAAGAAGGAAACTGTAAATGTCTTCAAAATATCCTATACCTAGAAAACCTTGAAAAGAGTTGCCATAAGTCAGAAATATCTTGCTGGTACATAATTATTAGTAACTCCCAGCAGTGGTGTCATTATGTGACAGATGAACTCATATAAAAATGATAATTTTTATTTTGTTTCTCCTAGTTCTGTATTCAGGAATTCCTCGGCTTTGTCATTGCACAGGGTAAGTAATAACGGGAGACTTAACCTGTCTTGTCCCCTTCTGTACAGTTTATCTAACAATAATTAAAGCCCTCTGAATTCCACGAAAGTTTGAGATTCTGATTCCTCAGAAGTTCCAACATGCACTGAAACACTCAAATCCAACATGGCTTGCTTCCTTTTGCCTTTTTCAGTTACACGTTTTATGCATTTATTGTTTCATTGTTTTGAAATCTGAGGCCATTGTTTTGAGATTACATTAGAGCTGCTGGATACCTCAGTGGTTTAGGAGCCAAAGGCTGAGAATTTAATTCCCCACTGTGCGTGGGCTTGACAGTCCATAGGGTCCCTTCCAACTCTGCAGTTCTAAATGTATTATTATTTATAGTTTGCATATTTAATTTTTTTATTCTAACATGTCAAGCCTATTACTGTGAAGACTGATCTTGTTGTTAACTGAAACATGGATTTGACTTTTTATTTTTTAAAAAAATACGTTTTTAAAATTAAAAACTCTTTCCTTCTAGTAAAAAATTTAAAAATAAATAAATTCAGGGATGTGGGGAGGCACATGACAGAATTGCTCCCCATGCCCCGAGAGGGCACAAGGAGATTCTTTGAGTAATTTTTAAAAAACAAAATTTTAAAATGGGGGAGGCGGCATGCAGCCCACAGGCCACATTTTGCCCACCGCTGGTTTAGCTGAATTGCAATTTTAATTTTAAAAACTAAGGAATTTTTAAGTGATGGGGATTGAAGTTTTAGCAATCATGATTGTCATGTCACTTAAAAAATACATCTAGAATATTGAATTTCGTGACCTACCAATTCTCTGCCAGCATGAAATAACTGAGTAGGCTGAAGCAATGGAAGAAGGTGATTAATGCTGAGGAAGATGAATGTGCTCTGTGCTTTAGTCCAAATCTTACAGGAGATATCTTAGGTGTTGAGCCTTTTGTAAGGACTGGCACTTTAGATAGCTACTGTAAAATCAGGACTAAAACCTAGCATGGATTCAAAATATCCTATACCATCTCCACAACATTAGAATTACCAGCCTCCGCTGGGCTGAAGCACCCTACTTTCCTTCTCATCTGGAAAAGGGTAAACCATTGCTCTGCATTTTATAAGGCTAAAGTAAGGAGTAGAACAATATAATGTACACTTCTCCTTTCAAAACGCTGGGGTCAAGAGCACCGGACTCCTGCGTAGTTCAAAATCCATGTATAACTCTTATGCCCCCCAAAATGTAAATACAAACAGTTGATTAACAGTTTGTTTTATGGTGTTATGTGAACTGCCCAGAGTAGCCTGGGTTGCTAGATGGGCAGTATAGAAATTAAATAAATAAATACACACACACGTATGTCCCTCTCCTCATCCGTGTCAATCTCTTGGCTTGCCCCTCCCTGGTTGCTGCATGACAGAAGAGGGGGCTGGCTAGGCTGCCACCACTGGACTGGGGGCTGCCATGCTGCCCACAACAGTGCCCTAGGGAAGCCTGAGACCCACCTTTTTCAAGCCACTTCTTCCAGTCAAATAGCAGCACAGGACTGGTTGGTTGGTTAGTAAGTGTATAATCCAAACTGTGCTGCTTAGGATCAGTGAAATTCAAGGGAGAAGTGTATATTGAAAAGCTTGAAATATAGTATAAAACAAATGGAGATTGGAAAGGGAGTGAGAAAAGTGCTTTTGCGTTTGTACCCATGTGACTGTTAGAAATTTTACATTTTGATAACTAGATGCATTGCATTTGGATTTGCACAAGTGTGTAATTTTGTTATAGTCTACCTGCCTTCTCCAGTTTTTGTACTATAAGATGTGTATTTCTCGTATATGGGTTGTTGTTTCTTCTTTGAAAAGCCTGAAAACAATATAAACAATGGGGAATGTGTCGACTTCCAAATTCTACCCTCCTTCACCATTGGCTGTGCTGGTGAGGGCTGATGAGAGGTATGCCTCCCCCAAAGGTTTCAGGGAAACAGGTTTTCTACCTCAATAATATAAATGTTATCTATTAAATAGTCTTTCAAAACTATATTATATGTGTCCTATAATGAAAGACTATGAACTAAAAAGTTAGTTATAAGCTGAGTGCCTCATTTCTTTAGAACCAGTAAATCATCAGGTACTTTCTTTTTCAAGAAAGAAAATGACTTCACATCGTAGACTGTGTGATGGCAATGATGTGGGATAATGTTAAATGATGTCTTTTAAGAATGTTTCCCCCATGAATTGATTTCTGCTCTGTTT